GATGGCTGGCAAACCTGCCATAATCCAAATTTTTCCAGTGCTGAGAGACAGGAACAATGAGGGAATTTTGGCTGTGGTTTCAGTGGATAAAAATTGAATCAGTAACAGATTAGGACAGGTGTGGCTTTCCGAAGGCTTCCTTTGTCCTATTGAGATATGATCATAAATTCCAAGTGACCGCTTCCTCTGGGGGGCAACTCCGAGGCAGAGGTCACGATCCTTTGTTATTGTCCATGCAAATAGTGTCTTTTGATAATGGTCTTTTCCAACTGAGGATTTCCTCCTTTCCAGGGTCACAGGGGTGGCTTCTTATATTTTTATACATTTTTTCAATAAAGGGGAATTGGGCAAAAGGGTCAGGAAAAGGTCAGGCACACAGGGAGAAATATAGAAATATAGAAATCATGTTATAGAAAACATATCCACTTATCTCTCCCCCCAGAGTCCCATAGATGTTCAAGAGAGCACATAAGTGTAAAGGGGGGGGGGTGGTTTCTCAGTAATAAATGTGCTAACTTCTGCTATATATGAAACCTAGGGCATAAAATCTTGATTAAATGTACACACTATCTAACATGGGAAGGGTCCTTGTTGTTGTTAATGTCTTGGCAAATTGACCAAGGCTTGACCCTTATTATCCAGTCTGATGTCCTTGTCCTTAGCAAAACTATAAGTTACTATCTTTGATTGGGGGGGGGGTCATGTTCGAGTTCAGAATTCCTACCGGCTGTTAGGAATTGTGGGAGTTGAAGTCCAAAACACCTGGAGGGCCAACGTTTGCCCAGGCCTGCTTTAAAGGGGTCCTGGTGAGGCACAAGAACATCTTGCAAAACTGCATTTTCCAGGATTCAATATCACTGAGTCAGGGAAGGTGTCAGATTTTTCCCTTTCCATTGATTGGCCAACTTGTTTACTGTTGTCTGGGAAGCAGACAAAATGGATACATCAGCTGTCAATCAAAATCTGGAATGCCAAACAGTGGCATTGTTTTTCTCTCCTTATCTGATGAGTCTCTTGTCACTCATTTCCCTTCTTCCTACAAGAAAGAAAAACAAGGGACGTGAACACAAGCTTTCTGGTTCTTTGCTCATTAGCATATGATACTTCATTATTTTTTTATATTCTACATTTTGTCTAAAGGGCAACGTAACCTTTTAGAATAGTGTTGCTCAATCTGCGGGTCAGGACCCCATGGGGGGTCGCGAGGGGGTTTCAGAGGGATTGTCAAAGACCATCAGAAAAGGCTGAAGATTTCTCCATCTGTCCTTCTCTTCCTTTTTGGTGTTGGTGAACTACAGCTCCTAGAATTCAAAAATAGCACCCCCCCCCCCCACAACCCCACCAGTATTCAATGTTGACTATGTAGGTAGCGTGCCAAGTTTAGTGCAGATCTATTGTGGGCTGGGTTCAGATTGCTCTTTGACTGTAGGTGAACTATACATCCCAGCAACTACAACTCCCAAATGTCAAGGTCTATTTCCCCCAAAATGCATCAGTGTTCACATTTAGGTATATTGGATATTCGTGCCAAGTTTGATCCAGATCTATTATTGTTTGAATCCACAATGCTCTCTGAATATAGGTGAACTACAACTCCAAAACTTAAGGCTCACCTAGCCATTTCAGTATTTCCTCTTGTTCATGGGAGTTCTGGGGGCCCGGTTTTGTTCAATTCCATTGTTGGTGGAGTTCAGAATGCTCTCTGATTGTAGGTGAACTATGAATTCCAGCAATTACAACTTCCAAATGTCAATGTCTGTTTTCTCCAATATTCCACCAGTGATCACATCTGGTCATATCAAGTATTTGTTCCAAGTTTGGTCCAGATCCATCATTGCTTGAGTCCACAGTGTTCTCTGGATGTTTGAGTCCACAGTGTTCTCAATCAAAGAGGATTCTGAAGCCCATGAACGACAGACAGACACAAAAATACTTCCCACACAGAACCCCCGTGACCAACAGAAAATACTTAAGGCCATCCAGTCCAACTCCCTGCACCAGGGCAAGAAAACGTAAACAAAGCCCTCCTGACAAAGAGCCATCCAGCCATAGATAGAGATAGGTAGATATGATTCACACACACACAGATATAGTGTCATAGATGTGAAAGGGACCCCTAAAGAAGGACATTACATGTTGCATGTGTCGCGACCCAAAGTAGGCAAACGAGACCATTTCGACATCAACACTGACAAAGAAACAACAAGAAATACTGTTTACCCACAAGCATAAAGAAATTACATAGATTAGAAACCAACACTTTCTAATTACTTTATTTTCCAGACTGGGCCACAGCAATGCGTGGCAGGGGATAGCTAGTGTAATATAAATATATAATTATAATATCATATTATTAGTAGTAGTAGTAATATTATATTGCATTACATTATAATATTATAAATATTATAATTATAATATTATAATATGAAGAGATGCTCCTATGCCATTAACTCTGCTGTCCAAATGCCCGACCACTGTCTCCCAAAGCAGTTACTCTCCTCCAAACTCAAGAACAGAAAATGGATTTAAAGAGATTTAAAGATGGGCTTAAAGCTAACCTTAAAAACCGTGGCATAGACACAGGGAACTGGGAAGCCCTGTCCCTTGAGCGCTCTAGATGGAGGTCAGTGTGACCAGCAGTGCTGTGGAATTTGAATAGGCACGAATTGAGGGCAAAAGGGAGAGACGTGCCAAGAGAACGGCGTGTCGAGCCAACCCTGAATGGGACCGCCTTCCACCTGGAAACCGATGCACTCACTGTGGAAGAACATGTGGGTCAAGAACAGGGCTCTACAATCACCTACATATCCATCGTGAAGACACCACATTTGGATGGCCATCATACTCAGACAACGAGGGATCGTCGAAGTAAGTAAGTAACTCTTTATCGCTGGTTATTTCTGCTGATTCACCTTTTGCACATTTATCCCAACCTGGTGACCAATCCTCAGCCCTCTAACTTCATAACATTGGCCTTTTGTCCCAGGAAAGAATGCAAGGGTGCCTAATTAGGCTCAATTAGGCGCATCTCTAATTCACCGCTCATTAGCAGCAGGTGGAAGGTGAGGAAATGCCAGGAGGCACCGGCAGTAATGCTGATTCACGTGTCAATGTGGGCGGCTTGGCATCATCCTCCTGGATGGAGGTGGAACAGGGCAAGAGTTTATGACCAGGCTTAATCTGATGGGATCTGGACCAGTTCTCTGCGCTGCAGCACCAAAGGGCCAGCCTTCCCAGTTCGAATAGCCCTGGATAAATCTCTTGAGCCGAAGGACATCTTGGTCCATCCATCTGGAAAGTGGCAATCTTTTTCTCCATCTCATGCCCTCCCAGGAGGTTCTGGAAATAGGAATCCTGCAGTGTAGGTGGACAAACGGGTTGAGGGCAAAGGTGTCCATTTTAGTCATTGCCTAGGAGGAATCTACATTGTGGAATTAATGCAGTTTGACACCATTTTGACTGCCATGGCTCAATGCTAGGAATCCCAAGAGTTGTAGTCTGGGGCCTCTTC